TGAGGGAGGCTTCAGAATCAGTTCCTCTGACTTACCCTTTATCTTTTTTTCTTTATTCATCATTGAGCTCTCCTGGCTTCTCTTTCCCTTTCTACAAGTTCCTTTTAAACTGAAATTGGACATGTTGCCAAAAATGTATACATGTGGGTCTTGGGGTCTGCAGACCACACGACTAAGGGGATCTAGCAAGCGAAGCTTTAAAATAAATTTCTATCATTTTTTTTGTTCATTCATTCTTGATTTTGTCATGCCTCCTTCCTTTTAACCTGATACTGGACAGAAATGTTCACAAGATTTGTATGCATGCCTATATGGAAATATATAGATATCTGTGTGCAATGAAAATGTTGCATTTACTTATTCCTAATTGTAATATCCTCTATTTCTTTCTGTTTAGATACCAAAAGAGCTTTTCTTTCATACGGACTATCGGCCTCTTGTGCGAGATGCCAATAACCATGTGCTGGATGAGCAGACTCAGATGGCACCACACCTCATGCCACCCCCATTCTTGGTCAACATGGATGGTGACCCATATCCTCCCGAATACCAGAGGCTTGTACCTGGTCGAGAAAACTGCAGACATGACCAGCTTATTCCAAATGTTTTATTGAATGCAAATGGTGAGTGTGTGTGGTGGTTATCAGTGCATTGATAAGCAAGAAATAAAGATCACAGGGTGGGAAAAAATCAAATGCCAAGGGTACAGACATTTTGGGCCTATTAATTTTTAGCTCATGTTTTGGCATAATTTTTTCTAGCATGTTTCCGCATTTTATATTTGTCCTAGAATTTCAAGGGAAATGGGCTGGACACATATGCAACCCTTTTCCCCCTCCATTAGGTGGTCATACAAAATAAATTAATTACAGTTTCATTTGAATGTTGTTCAACACTGGGCATTCACTCTTTCTCTCAGGTGACCAAGAGGTGCTAGATGCAGCACTACAGGACTATGAGCATCCTCCTGCAAATGCTCCAAATGCTCCAGCTCCTGAGGCTGCCGGTGGCCAGAGACCGAACATTGATGAAATGATAGAACGGCTTGCCCAAGAACAAGACCAAAGAATAGCCCATAATAGAAGACCATCTGACGCAGCTATTGACCAGCCAGGCCCAAGCAATGTGCGAGAAAGAAGAGAAAGTAGTAGTGCGCGGGGAGAACGGAGAGCCAGTTCAGGAGGTCCCCCAACAGATCACTCTTATGCTGTTGCTGCTCTCCATGACCCACTCTCACCCAGAGCAAGTGAGTTAGCTACAGGTCATTTGATGCCTTTTGTAACCTCCAGCATGTGTTCACTTGCAAACAAGGTGTTGATTTTTTTTTCAATAAGGTGGTGTTCTTTATTCTAAAATGATTAATTTTACGCTCAAAAAAATTTACATTTTTACATTATGCTATTAAGTACATAGTGGACAATTAGAGTAGAAAAAGTTATTGCAATATCCACCAAATATCACATTTGAATTTCAGCCCTTATATTGCACTCACAACAGAAAGAGATGCGGTTGACTTAGTGAGAAAAGAATCTATAGGAAAAAGAGTGTGAGGATTGCCTTGTGGGTGTAGCCAATAAAGAGATAAAAGGATCAAATAGAAGCCAGGAAATAGCTTGTCAGTTTTTGAAAGACTGTGCAACAATTTGTTTACAGTTTCAAAGGGGAAAAAGTGTTACTTAAAAGCATTTAGGGGTAGATTTTAGGTCTCTTACTTTCTTACATTTACTTTTATCTTTTTTCTCTCTTTCTTTTCTTTGTCTTATGAAGTGATGTATAATGTTCTGAATAATTGCCAGGCCGAGCTGGAACTCGGCGAGTAGGCGATGTGGAAGGCGTGCGACAGTCAACAGGAAACTGGCAGCGTGATCCCAACATGAAGTGGAATCGTCGTATCATCATACGCCAACAACAGCACTCAAACATCAAACAAAACCTCAATAACAGAAGGATTCTCGGAGAGTATGAGTTACATTTGTATGATGAAGAAAGTCGCAAGAAACCTGAACCAGTTAAATCCCCAGAACAGCAGCAACATGAGGCAGAGAGAAAAACAAGGAAGAAACAGAAAAAGCAAACTCATTCCTATTCAACACGCTCTGTCAGAGAATCCAGAAGAGGGCCCTATGAAGGCCAGGAGTTTGAGGTTTGTTTTTACATTTGTTTAGTGGTTCATGTTCAGATCTCCTTAATAATTACAAGTGTGTAGTAAAAGAAAGCAAATATGTTATTATGTGTTAGAAATTTTTTTGGATATGCTATTAATTTGAGCAGCAGATATAGCTTTAAACCCAAAAAGATGTTGATGTTCAGAGTTTCCTGTGCAGACAGGAGAAGAAAGCATGCCTTATTGTTCAACTCTAATAACTGAGATATCAGTGTAAAGCATTCTAATATGGATAATTTTTGGACAGATTTTGGGTTCCCTCCATTGTGCAAACTGAAAAACAAGAATAAATATTTAAAGTTAATGATACTTTTCAAGTGCAGTTCAAGCTGCTATATTATATGTTGATGTAAAGATAAGTTTACAAAGTAAGTTTAACTCAGTTGATGTTCAGTAAAACCTGAGGCACAATTTCCTTTTTATCCAACATTTCCCCATGAACTCACATGTCTTTGCCACTATTTGGTTGGATTTAGGAATACTGATATCTAAGTTTGTTAAATCTCATGTTTACATATGAAAACATCACTAAAGATTGGTTCCCATGATATTTGAGGCACATATTTAATGGTAAACCTTTAATTTTATGTTTTGTAGTTTTCTGATGAAAATGTTTGACTGTCTGACTGCATTAAATAAAATGTCAGGCTCTAGAACCAGAATCGGTTTCACTTTAAATCTATCATTTAGAACTTGCTTGCTTTTTAAGGGCTAAACAGGATTGCAGGATGACTAATTACAAAAAAAATCCACAGGATGCAGAGAATCCACCAGGGTCCAGCAGCCCAGGCACCTCCTCTGGTACAGAAATAGAGAATGAAGAGCTCCAAGAGTCCTCCAGCTCAGATGATCAGTCCACAGACTACTCTGACTGGACAGCTGATGCAGGTTTCAGCCTTGAACCCCCCAAGAGAACAGCTCACAAACAGAAAAAATCCATAAGGAAGGGGAGGAGAAAAGGAAGGTTGACAAGTGATGATGATGATGACAAGGAAAATAAAGATGATGATGATGAAGAGGATGATGAAGAGGATGATGATATGGAAAAGGGAAAATCTGCTTCAACACCTCGTGTACAGAGAAAGGTTAGTGATGGAATGTTTTGATATGAACATAATTCTGTAAAGGCTTTTAACCGACTCACGTCGGGTACATTTTGTAGCCAATTAAAAAAAAAATCCGGGCGGCTACAAAATCGGCGGTCAGAGCTTCCTCCAGAGTCTGTCCGCCTGCCAGCCGCGTGCTGCTGTTGCGTCACACTGGCAGGACGCCTGGCAATGTTTATTTTTTCCGGTGTCTCATATATGTGACACCTGGCACGATTGGGTTAAAGATGAATATGTATATTTTTATAGATTTGTGTGCAAAATTGTGTATACTAAGTAAACATATTTCTTGGCAGCTAAGAGCACCACGACCTAACTTGTCGGAGTTAAATGGAGCGGCTGATGAGATTCCTGAAGAGTACCGTCCACCTGAATGGTTGACGGAAACCTTCCCCAAGAAGGCACCTTACTTCCCACAAATGGGAGATGAACTCATATATTTTATGCAGGGCCACATGCTCTATGTAGAAGCCGTCATGAATAGAAAGCTCTATACCATTGACAAAAGGAGTCTCCCATGGATGAGAACTACAAATAAATTGAGGGTGAGATAAAAGGCAAAAGCTTTGAAGTTTGTAGAATGTGCAGATGAATGTTACCATATATGGGACCATCTGAAATTACATTTTTTCTGTTTTATCTTAAGAAATTGTTTGTGATCTCTCCAAACAGGATCAAGAGTTTGTAAAAATCATAGGCATCAAGTATGAGATTAAGCCACCACGCCTTTGCTGCCTCAAGCTTGGGATAATGGATCTTGGGCGAGGAAAGCTCACCTCGGATTCATTCACCATTAAATACCATGACATGCCAGATGTACTTGATTTTCTTATATTAAAGGCCACGTACAATTATGCCATGAGTAGACACTGGCAGAAAGGTAATGGTTGCAGAAGTGTTGTTGAATTTTATTTATTTTATTTTATTTTATTTTATTTATGTATATATATGTATTTTTTTTCTACTGGAAGGACACTTGTTCAGTTTTTTGTCATGCTTTTGTTTTTTAGATGGATTTTGCTCATATAATTGTTTGTAATTTTCAGTAATTATTATTCTTGTAAGGTATGTCATTACAGTTTTGTGATGAATGATGCAGTTTCTCCCTCAACTGGATAGGTGACAGGTTCAGATGCATAATTGATGACGCATGGTGGTTAGGCACTGTGGAAAGCCATGAGCCTCACCTACCCGAGTTCCCCGACTCCATGTTCATGTGCTACAGAGTCTTGTGGGATAATGGAGAAGAAGAGAGACTGAGTCCGTGGGATATGGAACCCATTGATGAAAACAGTAAGTTGAGGATGTTAGAGAGATGTTTCAGTTGTATTAACTCATTTGTCATGATTTTTAGGTTTATTATGGTTATTTATTTTTGTTTGTCTTTTTGTGTGTTTATGTTTGGTGAGGAGACTTTAGTGAAAAGCTTTCTTTTCCTTTTTTCTCGTGTCATTTGACTTTGGTTGGATAAGTACATTTGGGAAGGAAATTATTTTTAGAAATTACAATGGTTATTAAAAAGGGATTTTTTTTTTTTTTTTTTTTTTTCCCATTTGATTTTTTCATTTGATTATTATTGTTGTTATTGTATGCATGTGTGTGGTCATTATAAGAAGGTTTTTTTTTTTTTTTTTTTTTTTTTCCCCATTTGATATATGTGTAGGGGGGGGGATAGGTGTCCAGCTACCGAAATCCAGTGCTCTGAGGAAAATGTAATATTCATTGTAGCTTTGTTTTATGAAATGGTTTTACACATAGACGGCTCCATCTATGTGTAAAATCCATCCATCTACCAAGGTGTCAATTAGTAGTCCTCATGACTCTCTTGGTTTCCCTTTTCCTTCAGTTTTTGTTCTTTTTTTCCTAGTGCAATGGTATTATTATTATTATCTTTATAGACTTACAGTTATTATGATTAGTAAAATGAGATATAAGAGAATATTTCTAAAACAATGAAATTGGAAAGCAGAGGAGAAGTTTCTACTAATAATTGTCTCTTAAGGTGTGACAAAACACTTGTGGAGCCATCTATGTTTAAAGACAATAAACTAAAATCACAGTGGACTAGCATGCTTGTACATACCATCCCCAGTTAACATGTATAGAGTGAAAAAGAAAATGTTATATCTGCAACCTTATTGATAGCAATATTTAATGTTTTTTACCTTTAATGGAGCTTTCCTTTGTCCACAGTGGAAGTAATGGAAAGAGGTGGTAGTGTGGCAGTAAAGCCCAAAGAGCTTGAGGAACTACTCTACCGACCTCAGTCTGAGGAGTGGGCAGGGCGTAATCCTGATCAGGAATGTGATCGCATCAGTCATGGCCTTTCCCTCATCATGACACTGGCCATTGCTGAGCCCTTCCTCGTTCCTGTTGATCTCAACGCATATCCAATGTATGCCTTAACCATAGACTATCCAATGGATCTCACTACCATCAAGGTACTGGTTCTGCTGTTATATTAATTTATTATGTTCTTTTTTATTCTGTTTTTGGGTGGAGGGGAGAAAATTAATTATTTGACATTCATTTATGATGTATGTGTAATAGTACGGACTCTAATTCGAAAGGTTTTTATCATAGCCTTAAAAGGATCAAATGTGTACAAGAAGGAAGATATGACATAACTTGAATTTTTAATTTTGATATTAACTGGTCTTAATAATGATAAAGGCAAAAAGTAGATTATCAGTCCCATCATCTTTCAGCTGGTCATGAGCAAGAATGGAATGACACAGTTACTGCTGCAATAATATGATTAAATCTTTCTTTCTTTTTCTTTGCACTTTCTCTTCCTTCCTTCCTATCCACTATCACTTGTTTCCTTTATTCATGCTTTTACTATCACAGAGAACTTTGTTGTATAATTGTGTGTTTACATCTTTGTTATTTTATTCTCAATCTCAGAGTAGACTAGACAACCGCTTCTATCGGCGTATCAATGCAGTCCAGTTTGATGTGCGGTACCTGGCCACCAACACAGAAAAATTCAACCAGAAAGGAAGCAATATTGTTAGGCAAGCCAGAATCGTCACTGAACTTTGCTTAAAGCTGATCAAGTGAGTCTTAAGTGGGTTGTATTTTTCATTAACCACAGTTTAGATCATGGAAATCCCTTTTGTCATCATCCCATGGACACCATATAACATATATCCTAGCAGTTACACATGGCAAGTCTCCATGCCACATGGAGTTTAGACTGCTCTGTGTTGTGTGTGTATTAAATAGCTGTTTACTTGATTTACCCTGATTGTGATAATTGAGAAGTTATGACTCTCAAAATAGGCATAAAGACACTTTTTAGTCAATTTTATCAGTATGTATCACAATCATAATTGTGGAGAGCAGGGAAAGCATGCTTCTACTTCTAATTTTTCATTCAAGTGGCTGTCATGCAATTCATGAATGAGGTTGCTTTAGTTAGGAATTTCCTTTGTTTGTCCTTGATATTAACAGTGAAAAAGACCAGAAACAAATATATGATAATAGGTGTGTGTGATGTTAGATAATGGACAACATTTATGCTTCTCATTTATCTTGTTCTCATCTTTGACAAATATTCCACAGAGATGACACATGTATTGACCCTACGCCCCTATACCATGAACTGCAAGCCAACTACCACTCTCCAGATCATAGTGATGAGGATCCGACTGGAGAAAGTAGAGGTGGTGGATTGCGGGGTGAAGGCAAGGGGGGCCATAGCAAAGGTCTTCGTGGTCGAGGACAACCCGCAGCTGTAAAGAGGTCATGGCAACAAATGTGTCGAGATCTCCTCAAAAGCATATTTGAAAAAGAAGACTCAATACCTTTCAGGTCAGTGCAGAAACTTAACTTAGCTTCTAACAAAGATACTCATTTGAGGAGATACAAAACTTTTGATAGCACCCTTGATAAAGCAATTGATGTGATCATTGTAAAAAATCAATACCTGATTTTATTATAATAATTTTTTTGGGATAAGAAGGAAATAAAGTTGTCAAATTTTAAATACTTACCTGTAGCTTCTGTCTTTTTGATAAATGTTTATAAGCTATTGTGGTAGCATTGTTAACATCGTCTGGGCCTTGCTATGAAAGGTTTTTATTAAAGCCTTCTTGTCTCCTAACCCATTGGATCTGGATGCTTCAATGCCATCACATGGCCCAAAATACAGGCATTCTGATGGGTGTTTGGCTTGTGTGTGGTAACAAGAATCTATGCCTTCCCTTTGCAGTGTTATTTTCTGTTTCTGCTTAAGCATTTTTAGCTGTTTTGCCATTTTTCAGTGTCCATATTTGTTATTTTATTTGCTTTATCCCAATGTTAATAGAATGTTTTCTGTGCACAGACTCTATATCATGTCTCTAGGTAGTTCATAACTCAGTGCAGGAATAATAACAATGAGTTTTGTTATTTGTTTTTGTTTGTTTTTCCATAATATTTATTATTGTGTGTTAACCTGCACTGCTGGTCACAGTGGCCAGGAATAGGATCCTGAGTATGGAAATAGTGTCCTCCCTGAAGCTGCTACTTTTCAGTCATGGCTCACAGACAGTACATTCTACACTTATTTATTAATGGAAATAATGCAAAAGCCCCTTATTAACTGTCAAAAGAGTCTAATCACCCTTCAAGAGGTTAGTGCATTCATGGCAAGTCTTCATAGTCAAGTTGGGAAATCACTTTCCATATTAGTGAAGATTTGGATACAAGTGCATTGATGCTGCTTTGTTCAGTATTCATAATCTGAGAAACACAAAAATAGTAATAAACAGTATCTCGCTGATTTGTTGCATTCTTGCCAAGGGGATTGGCTGTTTTTATTTTCTTCTTTCTTTCTTTTATGGTCATGTTAATATCAAGACCTTAGGATGATTTATTCTCTCACATAGTATGTTCATTACCTTCAGATTTCCAGTGGACTTGGAGCGTTACCCTGACTACAGCCAGGTAATAGATATACCCATGGACCTCACCACAGTAAGAGAAGAGTTGTCAGCTTCAGGCTACTCTACACCACATGACTTTGCCAAGGATGTTCGACTCATCTTTACAAACTCCAAAAACTACAACACCAACAAGAGGTCCAGGGTGTGTACTATAAATTTTTGTCTAGTTTTCTTCTTTTTCTTCTTCTTCTTCTTGATATTAATGTATGTATATTCTGTCCAAGAGAGGTCTTCAGTATCTGTAGATATTAAACAATAAATTCTTCTGAGAATAGACTTGGTCTCAGGATTATTGGCTTTGGTGCATTTGTTCATGATAAGAGTTTTGATTCACAGTAAATTAAATTAGAAGTAAAAAGGCAGTAATTCCATTTTACTTGATTTTTCTTCCTCTTTTCCAGATTTACTCCATGACTCTACGGTTGGAAGCATATTTTGAGGACCAGATAAAGCCAATATTAGCAAGCTACAAATCAAAAGGTAAGCGTGGTCCATATAAACCTACTCGCGGCCCAAAAGGAAAATTTATATCAGCCTCTCAGAAAATTCTGAGTGGACAGACGTGCACAGCTCAGGCTGGGCATAGCTCCAGCAAGGGGTCTAGTGGTGTCTCTTCAGGGGGGCGTGGAGGTCTGCAGAAGAGGGCTCCACCATCTCGCCTGGGCTCACCTGCATCATCACGCAGTGGAACCTCTGGCAGGATGAGCGGTCCTCGCGCAAAACGTACGTGTGGGTAGCCAATCCCCACGAGTGGCCCAAGCTGTACTGAGTGTTGCTTGGGATGGCTGGATGACTGGCTAATGCCTGCTCTTAATGATGCAAAATTGCTTCATCATGCACTGCCAGTTCTGCAGGAAGCTGCTGCCACAGGCACTGCAAGTTGCAGGAAATGTGTTTGTAGCACTTAAAATTGCAGAAAGCTGCTTCCTGAAGCACTGCAAGACTGCCTTGAAATTTCCCTCTGAAGCACACCAATGTTGCTGTATGCTGCCACCATATATCTAAATGTTATTGGATTTTGTTTCTTCAAAGACTTCTGTGATTAGAGCAGTAAGTCCCCTGATTTGTGTGATGATCATATTACAAAGTAAATTTCTCCTGTTACAAAGACTTTCTCTAAGCATAATATGCTTATGCCAAAGTCTGACAAACGAACATTGTTGTTGACTGGTGTTGCAGCAAAGGAGGGGCAGTCACTAGATATGAATGGGAAGGTCTATATCCTGTCTGCTTTCCTAACATTTCATACATCCAAAAGCAATCTTGTATGGGAAGGAAAAATGCATTCATGTATATATGCTGAATACAAACATTTGCACCAACCTCCACACACAGGTATATTGGCCAATGTATGGATGTATTCATGCATGCATGCATGTGTATGTGTGTGCTGTATATTTATGTATATATTTATATGTATACATATGTATACTCACACATGGGTGCACAGACACACACACACACACACACACACACACACACACACACACACACAAACACACACACACACACACACATGCACAGAGACGCGCGCGCACACACATGCACAGAGACGTGCGCACGCACACACGCACAGAGACGCAAGCACACACACACACACACACACAGAGACGCAAGCACACACACACACACACACACACACAACACACACACCACACACACACACACACACACACACACACAACACACACACACACACACCACACACACACACACACGCGCGCGCATACACACACACGCACACACACATGCACACACACACACACACCACAACACACACACACACACACAC